TTAAATTGGTCTTGAGACAAATGGAAATTTGTTTCTTAATTATAGGCTCTAGATGACTTTATAGAATATCTCTGGGCTATTATCAAGTACTTGCTTAAGAAGGATAATTCTACTTGATTGTATATTTTTTACCCCAAAGGAAAATAAGTTTAAATTTGATTTTAACCAGATGATGCCATCTGCATGGAGTCACTCTGATGTTGTGTCCACACTGTCCAAGAAAGGTTTTAATGAATGGTGTTTGTTTACTTTATTTGGTCTTAGACAAATGAGTAAAGACCTGGAGACTGGGCAATTTGAAAAGACATTTAGGAATCACTGGCTTTTCTCTGTTGATGCTACCATATAAACTAAGGATGACAGTGGGTAGGGAATGTGTGTGGAATTCCTGTGTGATTCACTGTAACTGGTATGCTAAATGCATGGTTAAGCTGGTGTCAGCATCGTCTTTCTGTAAGTTAAAGATCCCTTCTGTGAGCAGGACTCCTGCGGACTCATGTATGTTATATTTTGAAATATGTTTTAGAGGATATTTTAGGACTTAATAAAGGTAACTGATGTGTAAGGGGACTTAAAGGGAAGAAAAACCCCTTCTTCTATAGGGTAGCATATTTGGGATTATAATTTTCGTTTTCTTTAGGTTGCTTTCAGTTTCCTTTTTTTTTTTTTTGAGGCGGGGTCTCGCTCGTTCACCCAGCCTGTAGGACAACGGCGTGATCTTGGGTCACTGCAACCTCTGCCTCCCAGGTTCAAGGATTCTCCTGCCTCAGCCTCCTGAGTAGCTGGGATTGTAGGCACCCGCCACCACACCCAGCTAATTTTTGTATTTTTAGTAGAGACGAGGTTTCACCATGTTGGCCAGGCTGGTCTCGAACTCCTGACCTCAGGTGATCCATCTGCCTCAACCTCCTAAAGTGCTGGGATTACAGGCATGAGCCACTGTGCCCGACCAGTTGGTTTCGTTTTCGAGTGAATCCAGCAAACACTCCTTTCTTTGACTTGCAGTTCCAGTATTGCTATAAAATTACTGTAATATGGGGATAGTTGTCAGTCTCAAATACATAAAATGACCAATTTCAGTGACCTTTTATCCTTTTAAGAAAACCTATTCTATGAAAATCCAATTTTGTGCAAAAAGTGGGAAATAAGTGGGGGCGCAAGTGTTTGCTTTATGAGACTTTGATTCATGTAAATAGAAAATGGTTTTATTACATGTAAAATGTGATTTAAATTGGTCAAAATGACATTTTCAGAAAGTATACATAAAACATATGTACTCATTACGTAATGAGTACAAAAAGCGAGTCTCATTACATAGAATAAGGATTCTATCTGTGTGCCACAAACAACTTCAAAGAATTTTCTTTATATATAATGACACAGAAAGTTGTTCCTTAGCATCCATTTCAACTCCAGTTCCTCAGGAACATTAAGTACAAATTATAATGAGTTTATTTTCCAACTGAAGTTTAGTAGTTAAGCTAGTTTATTAGTTAATTTAGTTCTGACCTGTATGATTGAGAATAGATACAAGAGAATTACAGAAAGCAGATAGTGGAAATGATGAAGTGTACCTGGCTGACTTTCTGACAATTTGCGTGAAATGCTTGGCTTTGTAATTTTATATTTCCTTCTAGGCTGATACATTGAGTTTATTTAGTTAGAAATAGACTGGTTATCTGTTTTTTTAAATGCTGCTTCACAGTTATATACTACTTAAGGTATGTAGCTTTGTAGTCAATCTAAATTGGAATTGGGTTTTTGTTATTGTCATTTGGTACATTGGTCACTTTATAAATGTTTAACTTTTTGTTTTGAGTTAATTATAGATGTGCATGCATGCAGTTTTAAGAAATAATACAGAGAGGCTAGGTGTGGTGGCTTATGCCTGTGATTCCAGTTACTTGGGAGGCTGAGGCAGGAGGATCGCTTGAAGCTCAGGAGTTCAAAGTTGCAGTGAGCTGTGATGGTGCCACTGCACTCCAGCCTGGGTGACCGTGAGACCCCATCTCTACAAGGAAAAACAGTAATAATACAAAGAAATGTCATGTACGGACCTACCAGATTTTATTGTGCTTTGCTTTATTGCACTTTGCAGATATTATTATTTTTTTTGAGATGGACTCTCAGTCTGTTGCCAGGCTGGAGTGCAGTGGCCGGATCTCAGCTCACTGCAAGCTCCGCCTCCCGGGTTCACGCCATTCTCCTGCCTCAGCCTCCTGAGTAGCTGGGACTACAGGCGCCCGCCACCGCGCCCGGCTAGTTTTTTGTATTTTTTAGTAGAGACGGGGTTTCACCCTGTTAGCCAGGATGGTCTCGATCTCCTGACCTCGTGATCCGCCCGTCTCGGCCTCCCAAAGTGCTGGGATTACAGGCTTGAGCCACCGCGCCCGGCCCAATATTATTTTTTACAAACGGAAGGTTGGTGGCAATCCTGTGTCAAGCAAGTCTTGCCGTTTTTCTAACAGCATATGCTCACTTCATGTCTCTGTGTTACATTTTGGTAACAGTATTTTAGATGTTTTCATTATTATCTTATCTGTTATAGTGATCAGTGATCCTTGATGTTACTCTTGTAATTGTTTACAACCTCACTGATAGAAGAGGGTGAACTTAATAAATGTTGTGTATGTGTGGAGTTTTTTTGTTTTGTTTTGAGACAGGGTCTTTCTCTGTTGTGACCTTGTGACCAGTTCACCAGATGCCTTTTGGCATGTGTCTTGTCAGTCTTAATTGTAAGATCTTGGCAGGTTAGTGCCGTATCTTTGTAGCCACCTTCTGACCCAGTACCCTCCAGGGGTGCTTCTATATGTGTTTGTTAGAAGAGTAAGTGCATACTTAGTAATCGTAGATTTCATCAGAATAGTGAGTTTTATCTGGAAATTTATATCAATTTTATACTTAGATTTACCATCTGTAGTTATTGAGAAACTAATAGCAAAAAATACTTGACACTTACTATATGTGAGGTATTGATCCAGTCACTATCTATACAGACCCCTTGATTTGAACAAGTAGGTTTTATGATCCTTGCCAGTTTACAGATGAGAAAACTGGGGCACGGAGAAACTTGCCTTGTGTCGAATAACTAGTAAGTGGTAGATTCAGCATTTAAATAGCCACATAGTCTGTCTTTCACTACCATCTTTGTAATTTTTGAAATTTTTAATAACAGGATTTATATATGCTATTTATGACATCCCCCCCCCCCACCCCGAGACGTAGTCTAGCTTGTCGCCCAGTCTGGAGTGCAGTGGCACGATCTCGGCTCACTGCAACCTCCGCCTCCCGGTTTCAAGCGATTCTCCTGCCTCAGCCTCCCAAGTAGCTAGGATTAAAAGCACCTACCATCACCCCCAGTTAATTTTTGTATTTTCAGTAGAGACGGGGTTTCACTGTGTTGGCCAGGCTGGTCAAGAACTACTGACCTCATGGTCCACCTGCCTTGGCCTCCCAAAGCTCTGAGATTACAGGCGTGTACCACTGCGCCCGGCTGGTATTTATGACTTTTTAAAGCTCGTTTGTTCCCTAATATATGCAATAATTTAGATTACCTAGTCCACTACTTTATAATGAAACCTTGACTTACTGCTTTGTAGCATGAACTTAGAAATTCTTTTGGAAATAAGTAGTTGGAAAAATACATGCAAATATTTATTTGAGTGCCTACTGTGTACCTTACTCTATGCCAAGTGGATACAGATGTCTGGAAGTTTGTTTTCCTACTTCTGCTGTAAAGCGAGCCCTTCACCAAACTTTACCTATTCATTTATCCCTAAAATGGCTTTGTTTGTTTCTTTCTTTCCAATGTGTGCTGCATAAAGGGAAACAATTTACAGATGAAAGGTGTATTTGGTATCTTTATTAATATTCTTGAATTCTAAAGTCTGAAATTTGTTTTAGTTTCACAAAAAAAAAAACCTGTTTCCCAAAAAAGAAATAAACATTAGGATGTAAATATTTACTGTTTACAGACATCAGAATTATATTTGCCTATCCTATCTCAACAAGTTGGTTCTAATTCTTAAGTTCTGAATAGATGATAGTGACAACTTTGAGCTATTTAAAGAGAAAGTTCATTTCTTTATGCTGTCATTAAAACTGTTCCAACTTTAATTATCAGGTATCTCTGTGGAAAAAATCGATTTAAGCTAGCAAAAGTAAGATAGAAATTATTTGTTTGGAGTTTTTTTGAGACAGTCTCGTTCTATGGCCCAGGCTGGAGTGCAGTGGCACGATGGTCTCGGCTCACTGCAACCTATGCCTCCCAGGTTCAAGCAGTTCTTGTGCCTCAGCCTATTGAACAGCTGGGACTACAGGCACACATTAGCATACCCAGCTAATTTTTGTATTTTTGATAGAGACAGGGTTTCACCATGTTGGCTAGGCTGGTCTCGAACTCCTGCCCTCAAGTGATCCACCTGCACTGGCCTCCCAAAGTGCTGGAATTACCGGCATGAGCCACCATGCCTGCTCATAAGATGGAAATTATATATATTGTATGCGAATAAAATTAAATTTATTTCAAAGTCCAGGCCAGCCACGGTGGCTCACATCTGTAATCTCAGCCCTTTGGGAGGCCGAGTTGGGCAGATTACCTGAGGTCAGGAGTTCGAGACCAGCCTGGCCAACGTGGTGAAACCCCCATCTCTACTAAAAATACAAAAATTAGCCAGGCATGGTGGCAGGTGCCTGTAATCCCAGCTACTTGGGAGGCTGAGGCAGGAGAATTACTTGAACCCAGGAGGCGGAGGTTGCAGTGAGTTGAGATTACACCACTGCATTCCAGCCCACGCAACAGAGCGAGACTGTCTTAAAAAAAAAAAAAAAAAAAAAAAAAAAAAATTAGAGTCCAGAATTTTCCCCAGATGCTTTCAAAAAGCTGGACATTCTGTATACATAAATGACTAAAAAGTTTATCTATAGATGTAGAAAAATTAATACAGGTTTTAAGTGTTCATTTAGTAAATTCAGAATTTGAATTTTCTTTTTATTTGCAGCTCAGATCGTCTGATAGAAGAGACAATAAGGTAGGAATAAGTTTTTGTTTTGCTTTGTTGGTTTTTGTTTGTTTGCACATAAATTTAATGAACAGTGTTACAGCTGTTTTAGAATTAAAGAAAAAACATTTTAATGAACAGATCAGAGTTAAAGTTCATTTATCCTCCTTAAAGATGAAATTTTTACTGTGTCCTTCCCTTGTAAGAGATGTTTGACACCCAAGTATATTTCCATAGTTACTTTAAGTTGTTTTGCTTAAGTTAATTTTTCCAATTAATTTATATTTAATATTTTCAATCTCAATCTTTTTATTCTCACTTTTTAAAGGAAAGCGATCTTAAGCATAATTTGATAAATAATTTTATGCCATTCATATAGACTTTTCTGTTATAGCACCTGCAAAAAATCTGCAGTAATAGTTCATAGTATCTGTAATAACATTGAACTAGTTTCTTGCTTAAGTTAAGGGACATTTATTTGTTGTTTTGAACTACTTAGCTTTCTAGGTTTGATGAATTTTAAAATATCTATTTTATGACAGTAAAAAAGAACATTAACTAGATACAGTCTCTGTGCTCTAGAATTCACCAATATGTAAAGCATTGGTTTTCAGGAAAAGTAAATCAAAGTACATGACAATAACAAATGTGTGTGTGTGTATATATATATGTGTGTGTGTGTGTGTGTGTATATATATATATATATATATATTTTTTTTTTTTAAGATAGAGTTTCACTCTTGTTGCCCAGGCTGGAATGCAGTGGTGCCATCTCGGCTCACTGCATCCTTCGCCTCCCAGGTTCAAGTGATTCTCCTGCCTCAGGCTCCTGAGTAGCTGGGATTTCAGGTGTGTGCCACCATGCCCGGCTAATTTTTTGTAGTTTTAGTAGTGACAGGGTTTCATCATGTTGGCCAGTCTGGTCTCGAACTCCTGACCTCAGGTGATCTGCCCGCCTTGGCCTCCTAAAGTGCAGGGATTACAGGTGTGAGCCGCCGCACCCAGCCACAATTGTATTCTGACCACGGATATTGGGCCTGTGCTAAAAGTACTTTGCCTGCATTATTTTATTTAATTTTCTCAATAACCTGTTAGATAGACACGAATCATTAGGAACTATTTCCAAAACAAAAAAGAAATTAAGTAATTAGTCTTTGGTCACATGATTAGTAAATAGTATTAAGGATTCAGATCCTTCAGTCTTAGTCTAACTCTAGAAACAGAGCTCTATCTAAACCACATTGTAGAAAGACTACAAGGTTTCGGGTCTGATTTGGCTTGGAACCTGCCTGTGCTGTTTATTAGATCTTAGATCTCTGTTCTTTAGATAATTTACTTTAACTTCTTGGAACTTTCATTTTCTTATCTGTTTAAAAATACAGTATTGATGATAATACTTACCTGTAAGACCGTTAAGGATAATGTGAAGAAAATGCCTGATCTAATACTAGGTAATTTGTAAATGGTAACTATATTATTAATACCACTCCTTTCTTTTTTAGCTTTTTATTTTGATATCATTTCAGATTTCAGAAAAATTTCAGTAGTGAAAAGAAGTCCTATATACCCTTTACCCAACTTCTACAAAGTTTAAGATGCATTGATCCTCTTTACTCCTAAGTATTTCAGTGTTCATTTCCTAAATACCTGTTTCTTTTGTATGGCTTCATGGATTCTTTATTCAATGGATTAGAATGTTTTCCATCATTAATAATCTTAATACATTATAATCTTTTATAACAATAAGCCATTATTGTGTCTTGAATTTTTGTTTAAATTGTATGTGCTGAGCCTTCCACTTGAAGAAAGTTTTCACAGAATTGCCTAATGTTGACTGAAGTATCTTCCTTGTAACTTTTTCCTTTTCATCAGCACATGAGATCTGATCACATTTTGCCAGGAATTATTTGCTTAAAGTTTCCCAATAATCCTTTTTCTTTTTTTCTTTATTTCCCTTTCTTTCTGCCTTCTCTTCTAGGGCCAGGCTGCCTTAATTAAGCTTCCACTTCAGCACTGGCCTATTTAAGGGCTGATAATATGAGTATAAAAACTTGGGGTACCTCATAGGACAAAAAAGAAAAGGAACAATTGAGAACCATTGAATTGTTACCATTATTTTGCTAGTTAAAAAACTTGTTAGTAGAAGGTCTTTTATTTCAGTATTTTCCTTTGCTTCAAAATGTGATAGGCATTACAAGAAAAGTTTCACTGAGTATAAAGCTAGTTATGATTTCTTATGAAGAATGTAAAATTTGTGTCAAGTAATATTTTTGCATATTCCATGTGGAAAAATTCACTTTTTCCTTTTAGAGGTACATTTTAAAACTATGTGAGTAACTGAATATAGACTTTGACAACAAGTTATTGAAAAGAGCTAGCATTTTTAATATTTATATGTTTATTTCTAACCTTTAAATGTATGACTTGTATTATCTGTTGTTGAAAAAAACGTGACTGAGTTCAGTTCACAGAATAGGTAAGAGGTAAGAAAGTTGAAGTTCCCATAAGCATATCAATGATTTATCATTTTAAAAGCATTATATATTATTTAGAGCTTATATTTTGCTTCTAAGTATTTGACCCTTGAAATAACAGCCTAGATTTCGTTCTGCTTGACTGTAAGTCATGAAATGAGATGGGAAAGTATGTCTAGATATACTTTGTGGTACTGGAAATCATGCTTCTTCAACAAATTAACATAATGTGTGGTGATGATATCTATTCCCAAAGGAATACAAAGTCCTTTGCAGAAATTATTTTTTAACCTCTGTCCACTTGTGAGTCAAAGTATACAGGAAATGGTGATAGTTCCAGTTTAAAAAACAGAAGCAGGCCCAGCATGGTGGCCCACGCCTATAATCCTAACACTTTGGGAGGCTGAGGCGGGAGGACTGCTTGAGGCCAGAAACTCGAGATCAGCCGGAGCAACATAGTGAGACCCCATCTTTACAAAGTTGTTTTTAAAAAGCCAGGCATGGTGGTGCACATCTGTAAGCCAGCCACTTGGGAGGCTGAGGCAGGAGGAGCACTTGCATGCATGAGGTCAAGGCTGCTGTGATGGTGCTACTGCAGCCCCGCCTGCATGGCACAGTGAGACCCTGTCTCAAAAAAATAATAATATATAATAACAAAGAGAGGCATATATCATTCAAAGATTGATATATGGGCCAGTGTAGGTTTGAAAGCTGTTACTTTATACAAGACTATAGTATCTACTTGTAATACCTTATAAATTTTTTTACAAAACAACCACATTTTCAGTGTATCATATTTTGTCATAATCTCTCAAACTGAAAAATTATGAATAAGAACTAAATGATGCAAAGGAAGTTGTTTGTTAAGCTCTTTTGTGTTCCTTTCATTTGGGGATCAAAAATTCAGTGTATTGTGCGGTTGACATTGCTCCCTCCTTCTGCTCTAATCTTGACTGGTGATTCTCTACACCTCCAACATTGCTATGGTCCTAGATGTCCTTCCTCCATTATCCTAAAATAATTTCCTCTATTGGATTACCTATTTCTTGGGATTAGTGCCTCCACTTTCTTACTTTATTCCCTTATTATGCTGAACCATGTCCTTAGAAACTTCCTGAGAAAGAACAGGAGGTAAATTGTTTTGGACTGCCCACATCCAAAATGTCTTTATTCTGCTCATATTCTTGATTCATTATTTAACTTAACCAAGTTAGAATTCTGAGTTGGAAATAATTTTGAGATTTTTAAAGGCATTGTTTCCAGAATTGCTTCTAAAGTCCAGGCTGGACACAGTGGCATGCATCTTTTCCAGTCCAATGCTCTGGGCATTGAGTGAACTCTTACAATCTGGAAACTCATCTTCAGTTCTTGGAAATTGTCTTACGTTCTTTATCATTTTCTTCACTCTTCTTTCTCTGTTGTTTCATTCAAAAAATATTAAAAACATTAAGTGTTGAGCCTTGTGAATTGATCCTTTCTTACCTTTTCTCTGTTTTCTATTATCTTTTTGTTTAACAATCTGGGAGATTTACTGAATTTCTCCTTCCAATTCTTCTATTACATTTTTATATCAGCTCTTCATTTAATTTACATGAGCTCTTTCCTGAGAGACAGATACACACATTTATGTGTATGCGTTGTGGATGTAATAATCTTTTATCTCTCTGAAAACATTAAATGTAATTTTATTTTAGAGTTTCTTGAGCTTCGTTTATTGCCCCTGTTTGCTCAGCCTCACTTTTCTGTTTGCTGGGTGGTTTTATTTGAACTCTGTCTTTTATGTTATCTTCTCACACATCTGGTGAGTATTGGCCATTCCTTCATATTTAAGGGTGTGACTCCAAAAGAGGATGAGCTTCCAATCACTCATTGCTATCACCCAGACTGCAGTGCAGTGGCATGATCATGGCTCACTGCAGCCTTGACCTCCTGGGCTCAAGCAATCCTCCCACCTTAGCATTCTGAATAGCCAGGACTACTGGCACATACCACCATGCCCAGCAATTTTTTTATTTTTATTTTTTATTTTTCTGTAGATATGGTGTTTCTCCATGTTGTGAAAAGAATGTGTGTTGGGAAGCTCATCCTGTGAGCACAGGATGGTGACCCTTGTTGAGTGTTAGGCCTCACCGTGCATGATTAGGCGGACCTGGCTGTTTCACTGGGGACTTCAAATTGCTAGACCTCTATGTCTCTTCTCCTGGGCTAGGTCTTCTGCTGGACTGGGGACAGCCACCTAGCTGCATGGGTTAGGGAAGGCAGTTGTGGGGTATGGCAGCTCGTTGTGCAAATTTCTACAAATCTCCTTTTTTTTTTCATGCGACGGTGGCTTGCTCTGTGGACCAGGCTGGAGTGTAGTGGCGCGATCTCAGCTCACTGCAAGCTCCGCCTCCCAGGTTCACACCATTCTCCTGCTTCAGCCTCCCAAGTAGCTGGGACTACAGGCGCCCGCCACCACACCTGGCTAATTTTTTGTATTTTTTAGTAGAGATGGGGTTTCACCGTGTTAGCCAGGATGGTCTCAATCTGCTGACCTTGTGATCCGCCCGCCTCGGCCTCCCAAAGTGCTGGGATTACAGGCGTGAGCCACCGTGCCCGGCCCAAATCTCCATTTTTAACCCTACTCCACAGTTCTTCCCTCAGAGAGACTGATCCCTTCAATTCTTGAGCTTTTCCAAGATCTATGGAAAACTTTTTAAAATCATTGCTTGACTCGTAATTTTATTGAGGTGAATCACAGTGGTGGATTTGGAGCTGCTAATGTGTTTTTTTTTGTTTGTATGTTTGTTTTGGTTTTACCCAATTACATTTCTTTATTCTGAAATGTCATTTAAAAAGACCAGACCATAATATTTCCACATGAACAGATATTTTTCTAGAATAGGCCTAAAAGTATTGGGAAGATGGGATTGTCGGCATTAGAACACATGGGAAATCGGGACCCCGGAAGAACTGTAATATTCTCTAGGACTTTTCATTTTCTAAATTTGCAGAGATACTGCCTGTGATTTCAGTTGAAAGTGATCCAAATCCTAGTATGTCCATATTAATTGTGTGTGTGTATGTGTGTGTGTGTGTGTGTGTAGCTTCAAATGTTATTTAACATTTCTTAAGTGGAATTTTTCTAATGTTCTTTTCCTTTTTCTTTCTCTCTTTTTTTTTTTTTGAGACGGAGTCTCGCTCTGGCCCAGGCTGGAGTGCCTATTAGACACTTGTATATTGTATATTATAAAAGTATAGTGTTCTTATTGTAACAACTTAAATAATACTAAAATGGATAAAGAAAAAGTCAATCTCCTGGTAGTACCCCTCCATTCTTAACCCCTGAAGCAATTTGCATTAACTGACAGTTGTGTAACTTTCTGATACCTTTTTCACTGTCATACAAACATCTCCAAAGATGTTTGTTTCTGAAAATATTAGAGGATTCATATTCTATACATTCTGTGACTTGCTTTAATCACTCAATATGTTATAAACATCCCTTCAAGTTAATAGAAATACTACTGTTTGTTTTGTTTTGTTTGAGACCGAGTCTGCGCTGTCACCCAAGCTGGAGTGCAGTGTCACGATCTCGGCTCACTACAACCTCCGTCTCCTGAGCTTCAAGTGATTCTCCACCCTCAACCTCCCAGTAGCTGGGATTACAGGCACTCACCACCATGCCTGACTAATTTTTGTATTTTTAGTAGAGACAACGTTTCACTATTTTGGCCAGGCTGGTCTTGGACTCCTTGGCCTCAAGTTATCCACCTGCCTCAGCTTCCCAAAGTGCTGGGATTACAGACATGAGCCACCGCACCTGGCCCTAACTCATTTTTTTAAATAACTAAATACTGTATAATCACTGCCTGTGATTTCAGTTGAAAGTGATCTAAATCCTAGCATGTCCATGTTAATTGTGTGTGTGTGTGTGTGTGTGTACCTTCACTTGTTATTAACATTTCTTAATCTCTCAGGTAGGATTTTTCTAATGTTCTTTTCATTTTTATTAGACATTTATACATTATCAAAGTACATTTGTATATTATCAAAATATTCTTATCGTAACAAATAATACTAAAATGGATAAAGGAAAAGTCAGTCTCCTGGTAGTACCCCTCCATTCTTAACCTCTGAAGTAGCTTGTGTTAAGTGACAGTTATGTATCTTACACAACATACCGTTTGAATGTTCCTTCCAATTTTGGGGGATTTTTTGGGGGAGGTCTTTTTGCTGCTGTTGTTCGTTTTTTACTATTCCAAAAGTTTTTCAATAAATATTCTTTTACAGATTGAATGTCGCTTATCCAAAATACTTGGGATCAGAAGTCTTGGGGACTTCTGATTTTCAGATTAGAGATGCTCAACCTGTGTATATCTCCTTACCTAATTTTGTTTCTCTTTTGCCATCTCAAATCTTGCAGTTCAAGTTTTGATTCATGTGTCATTTGTTTAGAATACTGCCTCTAGGATTTCCCTTCAGTAAGATGCATGGTGGTTTACTCTGTGAGACCTCACCTGACCAAAAATGTGTTCACTCAGCTCCCAGATAGGTCCAGCTATGAGAGCCTCTTAAGCAGTGTCATACCAGGTAGTGATGCATAAGTGATGCATCACTAGTGATGCCCAGCAGCTCTTCCCCTTAGGGGCTGGGCATCACACCAGCTACAAGACTGTCGGCTCTCTGCTTGTCGTCTTTGTGGCTGCATGTAGCAGTCCTTTCCCAGCTGCAGTGCCTGGGAGCAGTTTCACTGCAACCCCTGTATATGCAGATCCATTGTCTTCCACTGTCTGGGTTCCTCAGGAAGTAATGAAGCTCTAGGTCTTTGCCTCAAGCTTGAAGAAAAATCTAAGCTTCCCTGCTGTCAGTTCCCTGGTTCTCTTTTCACTTGGGAGAGTATAGCCTTCCACCTGGCTTTCTTCCCTGGAGATCTCAAGGGAACTTGGGACCTCAGATGGACCCTCCCCAGTGTGTCTGCTTTTGTTCTTGTGCTACTCTATGGAGGAAATGGGCCAAAGGTCAAGTCAGGAACTTATACTCTCACCATCATCTTCTCCAAATCTCAATCTCTTGATTTTTTTAAAAAAATATTTTCAAAATTGCTCAATAGCATTTCATTTTCTGTTGCTATTTATAATGTCAACATGCAAAGCACTCTCTGTGTGTTACATATCAAAGTGGATACTGACCCTGCCCTCTATGACTCTAATGTCCAGAGAGATAAGACTATGGGAAATGAATAATCCTGGAAGTGATAGCAAAATGGTAATAACTTCGGGCCAGGCTTGGTGGCTTACACCTATAACTCCAGCACTTTGGTAGGCGGAGGTAGGAGGATAGCTTGAGCCCAGGAGTTTTGAGACCAGTGTGGGCGACATAGGGAGACCCTATCTCTACAGATAATTTAAAAATTAAAAAAAAAAAAAAATTAGCCAGCCATGATGGCACATGCCTGTAGTCCCAGCTACTCAGGAGGCTGAGGTGGGAGGATTGCTTGAGCCCAGGAAGTCAAGGCTGCAGTAGCCACAATCACACCACTGGGCTGCAGTCTAGGTGACAGAGCAGGACTCTGTCTGCCCCCCGCCACCCTCAAAAAGGATATTAACTCAAGTATCTTTTAAACAGGACATCAAGATAGTCACATGGAAGAGATTGTGTTCTACAAAAAGTGACTTTTTCTTTTCTCTTAATCTTTTCTTTTTTTTGAGACAGGGTCTTGCTCCATTATTCAGGCTAGAGTGCAGTGGCTCCATCACAGCTTGTTCTAGCCTCCCCATCCTGGGCTCAATTGATCCTCTCACCTCAGCCTCCCGAGTAGCTGGGACTACAGGCACACACCACCATGTCTAGCTAATTTTTGTATTTTGGTAGAGATGGGATTTCACCACATTGCCCAGGATGGTCTCGAACTTTTGAGCTCAAGAGATCCTCCCACCTCAGTCTCCCAAAGTGCTGGGATTACAGACATGAGCCACCACACCCAGCTGTTTTAGCCACATTTAATGAATCTGTGACCTTTGTCAGCCATCTTGGAAACTCAGCATAATGTTGCATGCATGCCTAGTTGGTTCTCAAGTAGAATTTTGGAACATAATCTCTTCATAAATTAAGGGCTGGTTGTATATGCGTGTTTTATGATATTTTATATTTCTTTTCTATTTTTATAATTCCCTTTCAACAGTTTTTCCTGATTAAAGATATTTTAGTAGCTGGTCTCTTTTTAAATTCTTTTTAAACTTTTTAAAGTTTTTAAACTTTAAATTTTAAGAAGCGTTTGTAATATGTGATTTGTCTGTTTATGTCTTATCTTGTTTGTTATTTTGAAGCAAACATAGGAAGTGGCCTACTGCCTTGTATAAAAGGATACCAGAAGAGTGGAGTCATTTGGAAAAAGCACAGTGGGAAAGTGGCTTGGGAAGTGATTTTTTTCCCCTTATTTTCTGGCACAGTGCTTTCTAAGATGATGTTGTTCACTGTAGTTTTCTTTCACTTTTAAGGGCATGATGGTTCCAGGCAGGATAATCTTAAATGGTCATTTGTCATCTCTTTTTCCCCTTGCAGCATTGCTATGGCAACAAAAGAAAATATGACTTCACAGAGAGGAATGTTGAAGTCAATTCACAGCAAAATGAACACTTTGGCCAGTATCCTTTTTGAATGTTCGCAGTTTCTGTGTTTTGAGGGTAGAGGGGAGAAGTGTCTGTGTGTGCTTTTTATAGGGGGCAGGTCGCCATCACTCAGTAGCAGTAGAGCCCATCAGTAATTGCATAATATGAATATACTGTGCATTTCTACTTTGTGAAAGTTTATGCTCTTTAGTACTGTTCCTAAAAGACTGCACCTCAGAAGTTTCTTACTACTAGATGTAGAAGAAAAAAATTATAAATGTGAATTTAAAAATTATTCACCAAATTCTTTCACATTTTAGAAAGCTTTTAAATTCATGTTAGAACTCCACACTATACATTATTCTTACCTAAACATGATAAATTATATGCCTTTTCTTTGTTATTTTCCCCATTTAGAGATAAGTCAGTGGCAGATGCTTGGAACAGGGAAGGAAGGAGACAGCCACCCGTGCAGATGAGCTGTAGCTACTGATAGAGTTTGTACAGGCTGAATTCTGGGATACATTCTCCACTTGTTTGTTGTAACCTCTACTTTAAAATGTTTCAGTTTTCCATTTTAAATAGGATTATTACTACTTCCCAGAAACCCACTAGGGAACCAGAAAAGCCTGACACTCTGAGTCATTTGATTCAGCGAACCTCTGAAAAGACAAGCCTTCTAGGCAAAAAAAGCTTTCCTTCCCAACTGCCAAAGGGGAAGGTACCTAGAATTTTCAAAAGCTGAGTATCTTGTAGTCCTAGATAATTTAAGGTCACTTTTAGTTTGATATGTCTTTGCCTAAGGAAAAGACTATCCTGATGTGTGCCGTTATTCTCCAGTCTGCTGTGAATTTTGTTCTTCCCTTGTCACCCTAAGTATAAAACCACATGTCCAAAATCACATTTTAGATAGGGCTATAAAATTTACAGAGTGCTGTTATAGACATTATCTCATTCTACTAAACTATGAACTCGATTGCCAGCCAGAGCAAAGCTAATTAGTGAATATAAGAGTTTGTATTTAGTGAAACTTTTGAAACTTTGGAATAGAAGTGTGAGTCAGATAGCTGGTGATTTAAAACACTAAAGCCTTTCTCAATTGTTCATTAGAATTTACCACCAGTCTTCTTTGTGACCTCTTCTCTGCTACTCTGTACGCATCTCTCCCATAAGTTCTTTCTCTCTTTTTTTTTTTTTTTTGAGACAGAGTCTCACCCTGTTACCCATCCAGGCTGAGTACAATGGCACGATCTCAGCTCACTGCGACCTCCAACCTCCCAGGTTCAGGCAATCCTCCTGCCTCAGCCTTCTGAGTAGCTGGGACTACAGACGTGTGCCACCACGCCTGGCTAATTTTTGTATATTTTGTAGGGACGGGGTTTCACCATGTTGCCCAGGTGAGTCTCAAACTCCTAGGCTCAAGCAATCGTTCAGCCTCGGCCTCCCAAAGTGCTGGGATTATAGGTGTGAGCCACCTTGCCCAGCCCAACACTAAGTTCTCTTAAGACAAAGTAGTATACCGGAACCTAGCATAGCACCTCATACAAATTAGTCACACAGGAATTTCACAGTTATTCCAAAAGAATGTGTGTTCAAAAAAAAAATCAAACAAAATGGGTGTGGGTTAGTCAGGGCTAAAGTTTAGTTCACTTTCGTCCTGTATCTGCCTTCTGCTGCGAAGTAACTTTGAAAATGTTAATAATTCACCAGTGTCTGATTATATAGACCCTAGGGTTGGTTCCCACGAATTGCCTGAATCCAAGGCAGGAAAGGATCAGGTATCTTCAAACTCTCAGGCAGAACTCCCCAGTCTCCTAAGAGGAAAAAAGAGACAGAGAATGAAAATGAGGAAAGGGAGGGAAATGGACGGTGGTGGCGATGGGAGCTGGCTCTGCCTGTGCCTCCCTGCCAGAGTTCCTCCATTCCTGGCCACGCTGGCTCCCACCCTGTCCTGCAGCCTGGCAGTAAACCCTCAGTGCTTGGGAACTGTTACCATCCTTTTCTTCTCCCTCCCTCTCTGTTATTATTCTTATTTGTGTTACACACAAGACTGGGAGATATGTATTGATTAGGGGCCTTGAGCCGCAGCACATTCCCAGTCTGGGCAAGTGCATCTGCTAAAGATTCCCTTGGTATGAGTTTCTTCCCCTATGCCTTTCATCACTGTTTCTAGACACTGCTGATCTCTATTTTTGTGATTCCTGCGACTTTTTACCGGAGAGGCTTCTTCCAAATATGACCTTAATAAAGATTTCCCAAAGATCGTTTTCCTGCTGTAAACAGCCTGATCCAAAGGATCAACCTGAGGAAGCGGCGGGACTCGCTCATCCTAGGGGGTGTTATTGGGATCTGTACCATCCTGTTGCTGCTGTATGCGTTCCATTGATGGGACATCTGCAGGGACTCTTGACAACCACCACTTTCACGCCCTGGTCTGGAATAAGGAAACGTCTGAGGGAGAAGTTGACTGTCTTGATAATTAGCCTGACCAGCAGGATGAATGCAAGGCTGACAGTGATGGACTCTGTGACATGGTCAGGTTGAGCTGAAGCCACAGTTTTTCTGTGCTGTCTTTTCTAACACATTTTTCTGTTTTTAATTAAAAAACACCAAAAAGGTTTTCAGTTGCTTTTGTCTCCTAGGAGGCAAGTAAACCAATCAAAAACAGAGTTTTCTGTGTTTCCGTGATAGTGTTGAAGCCTGATGACAAGCCAAGTCTTACAGCTGGGCTCTTCAGAAAACCAGGTTTCTACATCCAAAGACTGCTTTTCTTTTAGCTACCAGATTGGATTGTGAATAAAAATAATTCTTGTCCTCTTATTTTACACTCATAATGAGAAATCGCAAGTTCTTTCTCGATAATCTGTGCTATAGATTTCTACTCTGTCTCCTCAACTCTGTTGATATTTAAGGAAAATTCTGTTTTTCATAGATTCTTTGAGATGCTGTTGGACCAACTTCAGCACGTTTGAGGTTGTCTGAAATGGAGATCACTGTAAAACTGTCTTTTTTTTTCTTTTAAATTACAAGTACACTGGGGTTAATTGTATTGCTGGAAAAACATCAAGAATGACAGTCTTGTATTTAAGGCACCAGTCATTGTTTCCATTTTAAAAAAATTCTTCCCTTGGATTAATATTTTCTACTGAAAAGAAGTGAAATCTCAGTTCCACTAGGATAAAAGAAACGAATTGCCAGTGTCTGTCAGTGCCCCCACTGCTCCTCATCATACCAGCAGTGACACTGGTAACTGAGGAAAGGGACTACTCAGTTTCTAATGTGATCTATTCAAAAAGCCACATATAAAAAGGCATTGAGGGCTCACTGTCCAGAGAATTCCATTTGTAAATGCTCCACAATGTATGGGCAAAAGTTTAAGGACTACTGCCTGATGTACCAGGAGTCCCGTGTTCTGTGAAAATCTGTTCATTCCAAATCTGGTAAGCATTTCCAAACATCTGGAGAATGGTTTCACTGTTGAGGGTGCATGTGGCAGAATCTGTCTGTCTCTGCACCTGTGTTCTGTTACCATCCCTGGACAGTGACAGATTTTAAACCAGCCACCAGAATTATTTTTTAGTTAATCATTTCTTAGTTTCTGTAAATTCATGACTTGTCTTACTGAACTACAACCTGGTTTGTAGACTTCCAGCATCTACACTGCTGCTCTTCACCATTGGAATTCACTGTGGTATTCATAGTATTGGCTTCAGTCTGAGCCACAGGGAATAAAAGGATATCAGCATGTAGTTCTCAGCTACATCATGGTATATAGATGCTGTTATTCAGGTGAACTTGCTCATGGGTAGACTAACACCTGGTTTGGTACAGAGACTGAGAAGTTTTTCATTCTGGTGTCAAAGTTTTGTTACATTATGGGTGTGAAGGGCATTTGATATATTTTTCTTAACTATGGGGTTTATTTTTCTAAATATGGGTTGATTGTTCATCGATTCAGGGTACCCTTAAAAGAAAAGTTTTCCCATTGTGAACCTTAAAGGATCAGGGAAGTAAGTTCATTGATTAAATTCTCTGTTGGGAGAACAAAACTTTCCTCCCCTGACACTTTATTATCTTTGATTTTTCAAAGGGCCTTGATTGGTGGTTGTGTCTCGGTTAGAATTTATGGGACTTTGCTATGTAGTTGGCATTTATAAAATCTGAAGTATCATAAATAAAGTTATTTATTTAATTATACTACCAGTCTTTTTTACTGGTCTGATTCTTTGTTGCACTCATTAAAGCTGATTGTGTGAGAGTGAACTGGGACACCAGCTAGTCTAGCTCACTGCAGCCAAGCAAACAAACCAGGTTGATGGCTGATGGGCCTTTCCATTGGGGTTTTGCTTATGTGAAGTAATGGAATTAAGTTGGTTATTTTCTTTTTAAAAATAAACCGGTTCTTCCAAGGAAGTTAAAGGCTTGGTGTAGATGTTGGTGTCAGATAGGTCTGACTAACCTCCCCATGCAGCAGCCCATAGTGAGATGACCAAGGGCCACATGTAGACAGCTAGGCCAGTGCTTTTTCCTCTTAGGGTTTCTTTGCAGAAAGAAACCTCCAGCAAGGGAAGAGAGGTGTGTGTCCACATGAAGGGGCTCCATGTGGATCCCATGAAGGGATTTGAGCTCTTTTAGCTCCATGTCATTTAACTTTTTTGTTTAACCACCTTGGCTTTCTCTCCTTTTTTGCTGTCCTCCTGATGGACCAGTTGCCAGATTCAGAGGCTAACAGTTAGTTACTTGTTAATGCTAGTCTCAGCCAGGAGGTCAGAAGGAATTTTTTACTTCTGGATCCATATGTTGCCTCTTAGGGGAAGTTATGCCCCCTCAACTATTGTCTTACTATAATGAATCTTTCCTTTTTGATCCTTTTAAGTAACCACTCAAAACTTTTCATTTCACTGAAAAAATAGGAAAAACCATGACAATAGGGCTGGGTGCAGTGACTTACGCCTGTAATCTTAGCACTTTGGGAGGCCAAGGCAGGCGGATCGTTTGAGGCCAGGAGTTTGAGACCAGCCTGGTCAACGTAGTAAGACTATGTCTCTACAAAAATAATTAAAAGATTAGCCTGGCATGATGGGGAGTGCCTGTGTCCTAGCTCACAGCTACTGAGGCTGAGGCCAGAGGATCACTTGAGCCCAGGAGTTCAAGCCTTCAGTGAGCCATGATTGCACCACTGCACTCCAGCCTGGATGACAGAGTAAGACCCTGTTTCAAAAAAAAAGAAAAAAAAAAAGAAAAGAAAAGAAAAAAGACATGGCAATGAAAAGGCAGGAAATTCCAAAAGACGTATTTCTGACATTTTGTTTTAATGTGTACTGATGACTCTAGTAAAAATGTTTAATGAATTCACCACTCAAGTTCAAACTCAGATCCAAGTGCTTTAGCTCATCTATCCTGGCAATCTCTACATTCTTGTCAATTCTTATTAATGATGCTGGAGGACTCCCTGTAATCTGCATTGCTCACCTTTTCTTTCTCTCATTTTAGAAAGGGGCTTTCCTTCTCTATGATTCTCCTGTCTTTTTCTGTACTGCCTGGTACTCAGATCAGGCATGAAAGAAAATGGAGACAGGTGATGAGAGGAGATACCATGAGGGCAAAATCCTTATACCCGGAACCAAATAATACTTTAGCTCTTTCATGCTGAGTGTGAATACATCCGAATAGTAAAAGATACTGAGCCTTTCGATGCAGTGGCTCTTGGCCTCTATGGAATTCAGGCACCTTGGGTTTGCATTCCCACTGTTAATTTTCTGTTTCACTGTTAGTGATCTCAACCTGATGAAAATGACTTTAAAGAACTGGACTAGCCTTTTGGTTTCTGATACCTCATTTGATCATTTGTCAGGTACGATTTTTGGAAATGGATTGAGTTTTCTAACTTGGAAGATTTAAGTTGTTGGGAATAACTGGCCATGTCTAGTGTTACAGTGAATTTTATGGCAAATGTAACTAAAGAACAAATGGATTCTGCTCAGAAAGTTAGAATCATTGTGTTCCACTCTCCTGTTAGGTTAAGGGTTGTTTATCCTGGTCTCCAAAAAGATGCAGAACTTTTCATCACGGTCTTAATAAACTTATCTTGTTTCTTCCTTTATAAACCTGCGTACTCTTAGGTTTTGTAGGCAAAAAGAAACTGAGGGAGGAGCAAGTAAATTTTGAGGAGTTTAGTGGATAAGAAGCCCAAAGCTGAACCATGCATGGTCTTGAGGGATCTTTCTCGTTTTCTCTGTACCTGAGAGCTCACTTTAATATCAAAGTGTTTGCATCCATTCCCACCCTGTTAGCTCTTAAGGAGGAGGAAAATCAATTCCAGCTAGACTTTCCTGTGATGGAAGATGTTTCCTCTTGAAAAAATGCCAATACAGATTTTTAAAACCTATTATTTTCCAAATGCACTTTGTAAGTTTTTGCTTTTAAAATAGCTTCTTGGAACCAATTTTATTGTATTTGTACTTAATTTTTGTTCTCATCTAAATGTGCATTTTCTGACTGTATAGAAGAAGCTTTGGTATGTAATTTAATAATAAATTAGAAATTAAATGATTGCATTTGTGGTTGTTTATATTGAAACAGTAACCATCAAGGTAGTTTGGGGATGGAGATTATGGTATCTTTGGTGTTGATAAGTGTTTCTTATGATGTCCTGAAACCCAGGATGAAATAATACAGGTGCTGAAAAGCTGGCACGTGTCATTCAGAAACCATCATATGAACAGTCCACTAGTATTTTAGCCCTAGAAGTGAAGGGGAATCTCTTACCAACATGAAACTTCAGGAGGCATGACGGGAATCTAAAATTGTAGAATTTGACTGGGTGCAATGGCTCACACCTGTAATCCCAGCAGTTTGAGAGGCCGAGGCGGGAGGATTGCTTGAGACCAGGAATTCAAGACCAGCCTGGGCAACATAGCAAAGACCTTGTCTCTACAAAAACTAAAATTAGCCATTCATGATGGTGTGCACCTATAGTCCCAGCTACTCGGGAGGCTGAGGTGGGAGGATCATGAGCCCAGGAGGTGAAGGCTGCAGTAAGCAATGATTGTGCCACTGTACTCCAGCCTGTGTGACAGAGACCCTGTCTCAAAAATAAATTAATTTTTAAAAAATAGTATACTGCTGGGCTTTAGTACATTAGTTGTGCAACCAGCACCACTGTCTAATTTTAGAACTTTGCAATTCAGCCAGCCAGTGTGTCAATTCCTCCTCTATAAAATGGTGATAAGGATGGCTACCATAATTGTACCCTGATTATATTGTCAGGGTTATGTGAGGAAATGCTCATAAGCATCTCAGCAAAGCCAGGGGTGCAGGACTGACCTGACATAAGAGATATCCTTGGGTTTGTCCTAATAGTGAGAAACCGGGCCTCTTTAGCCTCTTTCGTTCCCTCTTGCTGATGTGGTAGAGGAGAACATTCAAGAGGTGATCAGCAGACATCCTTACCTTTGATAAAGGCAACTAAGAGGGGAAATGTAAGTTAGGTTCTCTGTAGTTAGACAGGTGGAACCCAGCAATCAGTTTAACCAGCCTCCAAGCGGCTCTGATGCACACCAAAGGTGGAGAACCACTACTCTTGAGTGTCACGCTCTACAGGTACACACATTCTATTTAGTCATTCCATTCTTGACCGATTGCTTTTATTTTTAGTTGGGAACTGTTACAAATTGTGCTGCTCTGGACATTCTCAAACATGGGTTTTGGGACACACATGTACACTTTTCTGTTGATTATACCTAGGAATAAGATTGTTGGATTGTAGGTGATGCACATACTCAGTTTTAAGATACGTTGTCAAGACAGTTTTCCAAAGCAATTGTGCCAATGCCTATGCCTACCAGTAATGTGTGAATATTCCATTTCATTCACATCCTCAGCAACACTTAATGATGCCAGTCGAAATTTGCATCTCCCTGATGGCTAATGAAGTTGGGCATTTTTACATACTCACTAGCTATTAGGATATCTTTCTTTATGTAATATCCCTTCAGATGTTTGCATATTGATTAATCGGACTGTCTTTTTCCAGTTAATTTTTCCTTTGTTGGATAAATACGTTGCAAATATAGCATCCCATTCTGTGACTTGTTGTTTACTTTCTTTCCTCTTTTTTTTTTTTTTTTTTTGAGACAGAGTCTCACTCTGTTACCCAGGCTGGAGTACAGTGGTGTGATCTCGGCTCACTGCAACCTCCGCCTCCCGAATTCAAGCAATTTTTCCTGCTTCAGCCTCCCCAGTAGCTGGGATTACAGGCGTGTGCCACCTCGTCCAGCTAATTTTTTTGTATTTTCAGCAGAGATTGGTTTTCACCATGTTGGCCAGGCTGGTCTCGAACTCCTGACCTCAAATGATCCGCCTGCCTCAGCCTCCCAAAGTGTTGGGATTACAAGCATGAGCCACTGCACCCAGCCATACTTTCTTTTTTCTTTTTTTTTTGAGATGGAGTCTTGCTCTGTCACCCAGGCTGGAGTGCAGTGGCGTGATCTCAGCTTACTGCAACCTCTATCTCCTGGGTTCAAGCGATTCTCATGTCTCAGCTTCCCAAGTAGCTGGAATTACAGGTGCGGGCCACCACACCCGGCTGATTTTTGTATTTTTGGTAGATATGGGATTTCACCATGTTGGTCAGGCTGGTCCCGCCCACCTCGGCTTTCCAAAGTGCTGGGATTACAGGGATGAGCCACCATGCCCTGCCTTATTCTACTTTTTAATGGTGGTTTTGATGAAGTTCTTAATTTTAATGTAACTCAATTTATCCATTTTTTTCCTTCGTGGCTAGTGTTTTTATATCTTGTTAAGGAATCTGCCTGCCTCCAATGCCATGAAGAGATTCTCCCAAGTTTTTTTTTTTTTTCTAGAAGCTGTATTATTTTGCTTTTCAATTTAGAACTATAAATATTCTGCAACTGATTGCTATGTATGATTTGAGGCAGGGGTCAAGATTCATTTTTCTATATGGATATGCAGTTGATCCAGCACCGTTTGACAAGGTCATCCTTTCTTCACGGCACTGGAGCACCAGCTTTGTCATGAGTGAAGCAATTGTCTAGGTGGGAGTCTTTTTCTGGATGTTTCATTCTTTTCCATTGGTCTGTTTCTCTACCCTTGAGAAAATACCACTCTATCTTAATTACTGTAATTTTACAATAAGTCCTGATACCAGGTAGTACAGGTCCTGCGGGTTCTGTTTCCTTTGTCTTGGCTATTCTTGGTCTTTTGCATTTTTATGTAAATTACATAATTACTTTGTCAGCTTCCAAGAAAAACTTGCCAGATTTTGATTGGTATTATACTAAATATGTAGATCAATTGGAGGAGAATGAACATCATTACAATGTTGACTCTTTCGGTTCATGTCATGATATTTCCCTCCACTTATTTCAGTCCTGTTAATATTTTAGTACTGCTCCACCTGTCTGCCCTCCAGGCTGGTGCTGGCCTCTGGGATGGACGAGCTTTGGGTACACTTGGAGAAAGAACTCCAGATGTCACCTCCTACCCTCCATGGTTCTCTCCTTGACTGTGGCAAGGAGAGGTGGTGAAGGGAAGAGACCAAATAGGAATCAGAGGAAGGGAGGCTGCAGTAACCCACTGCACCTTGGTACAGGGTCCTGTGCTGGAGATGATTAAGTATGTAAGGAAAAAATCACAAGGCTGGTTACAGTCATACTGGGTAGCAGACAATGGGATGTAAAGGAGAAAGAAGCCTGGACAGTTTGGCAAGAGGAGAGCTTAGTATGTGTGGATTGGACAGGACTGGTCCTAAAACTCCCTTCATCACAAAAAAGCTGCATGCCCCTGGAGAAGATTCCCCTCATTGGGCCTCTTTCCTCACCGTGAAATGAGAGGACTTGGACCTGATGCTCTGGATGCTTCCTTCAGCTCTGCCACTAGAACACTGGTACTGATGGAGGATGATGGCAAGAAGCTAGATTGAGTGTAAGTGTCTTGCCCTTTGCCCTGTCCCTCCAGGTGTAGTCTTTGAACTCTAACCATCCATGCACTCTTCCTTTCCACAGAACAGGTCCCTGTTTCAGGCTAACTTCATCCTGCTGGATGGAATTCCAGCCAATGTGATCCAAAGAGGGAAGCAGTACCAGGCTGCAGCCCTCGTCATGGTGAAGATGGAGCCTTCTGGGAAGCTGCTACCCATGGTCATCCAGGTGAGGGCCCTGGACCTCCCTGCCAACTCTTTGCTGTGTTCATTTTAACCTCTGCTCCCAGGGACCCAGCCTCCTGGCTTTTGGCTCCCAAAGCTACCCCCACTGAGCGGGTCTACCTTGTGTTTAGTCACCCAGTGATTGCTTGCTGTCTTTTCCTGACCTTCCTCACCTGGAACTACCTTCTGAGAGTCATAACGGCATCTCTTTGTTCTCATCCTGAGGCTACTCAACCTCTTTGTGACCTTTGAATCTACTGAATATTCCCTCTTAAACATGTTTTCTCCTTTTGGTTTTTATGATTTTTTTTTCACTCCTATTGTTCACACAGTGAGTGGACAGGAATTGTCAGTTCTCATACATCCAGCTTCTCCTTCTCATTCTACTGTCCTGACTCAGACCCTCATGACATTTCTCCCAAAGCACTGTTAACCTTACTTGGCTTCCTTCTACCATTCTCTCCTGCACTTAACCTATCATTGCATTCACAGGGCACCATAGATAGTGAGAGGCAGGTTGGAGGGGTCTTCATTCTTCCTACTACTTGGAAGGCAATAGTCTTACATTAGCCATATGTTTCCCCCAGAACACCAGCATAGCGTCATCTATATGGGGGAGAGGTGAATAAATGCTTAATTCTTCCTCCTTCTGGCTCCCGCCTCCCAGCTTCAGCTCTCCCACCCCAATACTGTTCCTGCCCTCAGATCCTCTGCTTGCCTGGCTCCTGGCCAAATCTTGGATCTGAAACTCAGATTCCAACTGCACAAGCTCCGATACTATTTGCTGAACACTCATCTGGTAGCTGAAGTCATTGCTGTCGTCACCATAATGTGCCTCCCACGTTTGCGCCCTGTCTTCAAGGTACAAGCTCTACCACTCCCCATGTCCCAAAGCAACAACCCAACAGCTGCCTAGTTTTTAAGAAATCTAAGGCACCTGGGACAACATGTAAACAGAGCTGCTTGAAATTTCACAAACATCCATATGATATTGCAGCAAAGAATCTTCATGGCAATTTGTAAATGGAGGCAAGAGGAGGAGACAGATAATTGAGCCAGGGCCTTCAGCCTTATGATTGTACTTTTAATGTCTAAATTAATTTAATGTAAACTAATTATAGACTCACAGGCAGTTGTTAGAAATATTAAAGAGATCCCAGGTATCCCATTAGGTCAAGTCACTTAGCATTTATCCAGTACATGTTGTAGGGTGGTTCTCTGAAATTCTCTAGCAATGGGTCTCGAGTAGAGTAGGAAAACAATAAGCAAAAGTGTTGCGTCTGCACTGGGAGATTTATCATTTATCATGAAAGACAGGCAGTACATATGAGAAAAAAACAGAAAACAGTATCTGTGATAGGGTTTGGATGTTTGTCCCTCCAGTTCTCTTGTTGAAGTGTAATCCCTAATGTTGGATGTGGGGCCTGGTGGAAGGTGTTTGGATCATGGCTTCATGCTGTCCTCCCAATAACGAGTGAGTTCTCACTCTGAGTTCACACAAGATCTGGTTGTTTAAAAGAGTATGGCGCCTCCCCTCTCTCTCTTGCTCCTGCTCTCCTGCTCCCTCTCTCCATGTGACATGCCTGCTGTACTCCCCCTTCACCCTCCACCATGATTGAAAGTTTCCTGAAGCCTCACTAGAAGCTAAGCAGATGCCAACATGCTTCCTATACAGCCTGCAGAACCAGGAGGCACTTAAACCTCTTTTCTTAGTAAATTATCCAGTCTCAGATAATCCCTCGTAGTGATGCAGAACAGACTAACACAATCTGGAAACAGAGTTTGAGATGAAGAGAAATAGCTGTAATCACTATAGTATCTATGGAGAATGTTCCACCACTAGTGGGGAGTCTTTAGGTAGAAGACCAAAGGGCAAGGCGAGCAGCCCAGCGGGTTTCTCATACCTGACCAAGGAGAGAGGTAGATAAAGACATTGGCATGGCAGTGACAGGTGGATGGAAGAGAAAAATCAAATACGTGGTGATGGGGGAAGAGTAGCTGCAGCATGCCTGTGTCCAAGATGGAATGGAGAACTTCTGTTGGAGATGTAAGCTCCTTATCACCTAGGAGCCTACAGGGGGCATGTTGTACTTCCCTAGAAATACTGACATTTTATAAAACAGTGAGTCTAGTATCTATTGCCAGGCAGAAAGCAGCATAATAAAACTTGGGCTTGCTTAAACATGTTTTCAAAATCTTTATGACATTTTATATATAGAAAAAGGGAGCAAAATGATATAAGCTTATGAACCAGAGCAGTTGTCAGAAACAGTAAAGTCAGGAGAGGGAGGCAGTTTGGGGGACAAAGATGAGGTGTTCTGTTTTAGATGCATGGAGTTCGAAGAGTTGGCAAGAGATGCAAGTGAGCGCCTGGCAGGCAGGACAGCTGGATTGTGTTTCTGCTGCTGGTCACCACCTCCACCCCCAAATCTGGCTGTTACTAGTTGTGGTGCCTCTGGGTCTGAGAGAACATAGATAAGACAGGCAGTAATATGGAATCTTAGATTTGATTGCCTTCATGCTGTCTTTGCCTCACCATCCGACGCCCAGGTTGAATAGGTTAAGGCTACCCTCACACCTCAGAATCCCTCTTCACTAGTTCAGCCCCCTGTACACCTGTCTCCCTCACATAATCATTTCCTCCCATGGCAGACAGCTGAGTTGTTGTCAAGACACAGAGGAGGGCTAAGCCTGCAAATATAAGTTACCTGTGCAGGCTGTGGACTCAGACTGTTGGAGTCCGAGTCCTCAGTCCTTAACAGGTATGTGTTTCAGGGTCCTCATCTCTGAATGGAGATAACAGAATTTACATTGTGAGGTTGTTAAGGGATTAAATGACAGGACAGACAGCGTGACTCAGGATGAGTTGGAGAGATGTGTGAGTTCTTCCTATTACTATGTAGCAATATGTTGTTATTGTTTATCCTTGGGTATGTTGTTGTTATTTTTTATTTATTTTTTTTACTTTCAGCCAACTCACTCCATGTTGTTATTATTAGTTGCTTTCCTTGGGTATCTACCCACCTCATCTGGACTTTGGGTTTTCTGTGACATTCACCATCTTTCCATGGAGTTTTCCAGGTTCAAGCCAATGCGAGCTGCTTTGATATCTTTGCCTCAAGAGTATTCTTTGGGCCGGTCCCGTGTGTCTGGCATTAAAGACCTTAGATAGATGCCAACAGCATAAACCCTGCATATGAACCAGTTGAAAATGAAGACAAAATAGTTCTTTTTTTGTATTTTTAGAGACAGGGTATTGCTCTGTCACCTAGGCTGGAGTGCAGTGGCACAATCACAGCTCACTGCAGCTTCAGTTTCCTGGGCTCAAGGGATCCTCCTGCCTCAGTCTCCTGAGTAGCTTAGTCTATAGGCATACACCACTACACCTGTGTACCTGGCTAATTTTTAACTTTAATTAGGGACAGAGGCTTGCTCTGTTACCTAGGCTGGTCTCGAACTTCTGGCCTCAAGTGATCCTCTGCCTTCGCCTCCCAAAGTACTGGGATTATAGGTGTGAGCCACCATGTTTGGCCCCAAATAGGTTAGGAATAAAAGAAATGAATGTGAGAATCAGGGACCCCTTTTTTAAGGGTCAAAGAAAAGCAGGAAAGAGGAAACCTAATAGTATCTAACTGGGGCCAGGGAAGATTTGGTGAGAATAGCTTGGCTTTGCTCCACGAATTCTGACTGAAGGCACCATACTCAACACCACTTCAATATAAACAATAAGAGTGGGATGATCAGAGATTGGAGGAACAGCTTTGAAAATAAGCAGAGGCTAGTTTAAGCTATAAAGGTGTGAATGATAGAGGAGGTATAAAAAAAAATCAAAAGTTAAAGGGCTGATTCTTAAAGGGCACCTGTACTCAAGGTGGAAATAATACAGGTAATGATGACAGCTGCTATTTGAGGACTTGTGTACCTGAGGCACTGTGCTAAAAATGCTCTCTCTACATCACGGACATAAACATCACCACAGTGCCTGAAATAAGAGACCTGGTTATCACCTCCCACTGACAGATAAGGAGATCAACATTCAGAGAGTTTATTACATTGCCAATATCAAAGCTAGAGGTGAGCATGGACTCAAATCCAGGTCAGTCTGACTCCAGGGCACGACGCACAGGGAAGTCGGAGAGCGCGAGCGAGCGGGAGCGTGAGTGTCAGGGCAGCAGGAGACCAGCCTGTCAAGGCAGCAGCAGTGAGGAAAGCATCGAGAGGAGAAGACTCCGTGCTATGTGACGGGCCCTACCAGGAAAGAGCCAAGCATGGTCTCCACCAACCACCCCTCCAATCTCCTCCTTGCCAGCTCCTGATCCCCCATATCTACAACATCATGGAAACCAACACCTGGACCTGACCCCAACGTATCTCAGAAGGTGGAATATTTGCTAAGATAAGAAGGGAATGGGGCACGAGGCCACCTAATCATCCAACAATCTCTGTCCTGCCAGCTTCAAGATCTCCCAGACCAACCTGTGTGAACGTCCTGAACCTTAAGCCCCTGAGCCCTATCCCTTTTATAGCCATGACTTTAAATATGAAAACCCCATCTGTGAACCCCCTTTATAGTATGTCCTCATTCTCCAGCTGTGCTTCCGTCCCTCAAGACCTGTCATCTCTCGTGTCCCAGGCAGTGAGCACAGGTGGAGGGGGCCATGTGCAGTTGTTCCATCAGGCAGCGGCTCAGCTGACCTGCTGCTCCCTCTGTCGTCCTGATGACCTGGCTGCCCATGGCCTGCTGGGACTCCCACATGCTCTCCATGACCATGATGCTTTAGGCCCTGGGAGATTATTGCCCGGTGGGTGAGGGGTAGCTGAGAAGTGGGGCATGGTGGGGAGGAGGGGAGCTCTGGCCTGAGGCCAGCATGGGGCAAAAAGCAAAGTGAAAATGAGAAGGTCCAGACAGGAGGAGCAGAGAACTCAATCATGGGGAGAGACGAGGAAGAGTGAGGACACAGTGGGTGGTTCTGAAAATGAGGAGACTGGGATGGGGCAGAGAGA